TGTACATATGTATGCATCTCTAATTAATACATCAAGCATTTTCCTTGTTTTAGAGCCTCATGAAATAACATCATACTGAAAGTACCATTTTGTGACTTATTTTTTACTAAATTTTGTTTCTAAAATAATCCAGGTCATTCTTACAAATCCAATTAATTTATTTTCAATCTTTATAATGTTTCATTTTTAAAATATATCACAATTTATTTATGCATTGTTCTGTTGATGGACACTGTTTACAGATTTTTTGCTATTATGAGTCATTTTGCTTATCACCATTCTTTAATATTTCTCTTCATGTCCATGTGCAAGACTTCATGTAGTTTTTGTATCTTGGAATGGAATTGCCTGACTGAAAGGCATGTATGTTGAAATTTATAAGATAATGTCAAAGTATTTTTCAAAGCGTTTATAACCAATTACCTTCCAACAATATATAAGAGTTTTTCTTGTTCCATAATCTAATTTATATTTTCAAACTTTTTAATTTTTTCTACTCTTATTAGGTATAAAATCTAATGTCATTCCTGTCTTAATTTGCAATTTATTGATTATTAAAGAACTAGAAGTTTTTTTCATAATTTAAAAGCAGGAAATTTGTTTTTTTATTTTGCTTACTTTTATACTGGGGCTTATTACATTTTGTTTGATTTTGTTTATGTAGTTGACTTTGATGTCATTATAGATTATGAATTTTTTTAAAGTGTAGTGTAAATATGCATTTTTTCATTTTTATTTTGTTCTCTTCTGCTAAACAAAATGTTTTCATTTTAATGCAGTCTAATTTTCAGTCTTTTCCAATGTTATAATATTTTCCTTTATTTACTTTACTTTTTTTTAACTTTTGTCATTCATACTTACTGCTTTAATCTATCGGGGACTGATTTTTGTGAATGATAGAATAAGTACCCAAATTCTATTCTTTTGCCAGGGGTAAAGAAAAATGACCAGTGGAGGTGCTTGCTGAGGCAAAGGGCATAGGGAATGGGTAGTAGAAGAAGGTAGTTATAAATACCAGCCATGATCACGTGGCCAGTTACAGAAATGACAACTATAATTGTTATAAGTATCTCTTCCTTATTTTGTTATGAACATGTTTGTATGATATGTATGTCTGTGTGTGTGATATATATGTGATACGTATTTTATATGTACTTAGGTACACATCTTTGTTTTCTTCCCTCTCTTATCCCCCATCACATAACACAAGATGTATTCACTTTAAATCATAGTATTTAAGTATTGTTAACTTTGCATCACAGTATTTGAGTTATGGGATATCAAGAACAGTAAACATCACTCAAGAACTTTTCATCCTTTTCTAGGCAAAGAGTATGTTTTTTGTTGTATGCAGAATAGCTGTATCATGTTAGTTGGAATTGTGACTTTGCCATTATCTTTGTTTAAAGATTAACTATGGTTTACAGAGATGCAGTTGGGTGCCAAGCTGACAGGGGGTGCTGGGCCATGGTGTCCAAATATGTGGTCAAACATTATTCTGGATGTTTCCATGAAGATGTTTGTGGATTCAATTAACAATTAAGTTGGTGGACTTTGAGCGAAGCAGATTGCTCTCCGTAATGTGAGTAGGCCTAATGCAATCAACTGAATGTCTGAGAACAAAAATGACCTCCCTAAGCAAGAGGGAATTCTATAAGCAGATGGCCTTTGGACTTGAACTGCAACACCGGCTCTTCCCTGTGTCTTCAGCCTGACTGCCTTTGGATTTGAACTACAGTATCGACTCTGCCCTGGATTCCAGCCTGTCAGCCCACCCTGCAGATTTTGCACTTGCCAGCCTTTACAATAGCATAAGCCAATTTCTTAAAATAAATCTCTTTGCGCGCGCACACACACACACACACACCCTATTGGTTACATTTCTTTGGAGAACACTGACTAATACATCTGTTGTGGTAGAAAACAGTCCAAGTTTGCTTCTACTGAATGAATCTCAACCTCCAGCACACACTATTTTATGACTGCCTTTTTTTCCCCCACAAATAAATCTTATCAATAAACAAGCAGCTATTATGGCTGAATGAAGAGGCTGAGTTTAGGGAGAGAGACAGAGAAATATTAAGAAAAGTAGGCATACAAACATACGAAAATGTGACACTAATAGCTTAGAGCCTGGATCAGAGTACAAATTCAATAAACTTAGTCTCTATTATCATAACCATTATCAATTGCAATTTTTACTGAAGGCAGAAAAGAATCATAGCAAAAGGAGAAAATTAAACACCCTGTGGCTGTGTTGATTTAAAAATGCTCAACCATGAGAGAGCTGAATTAAAGCTGTACCTTTCTTTCATGCTTTATAATTCATCATAATGAATGTGCAAAAAAACTATTCCTTTAAACTGATTTGATTATACCTTCACTGATTATCACCCAATATATAGAAACAGACCAAAATTGAATTTCCTTCTACTTTGCAATACAAAAGATGCTATAAGCATGCATGGCAATTTGCAAATCAAAAATTTTAATGCTATAATTTGATTTAAAATTTATTTTATTTCATGTGTGTTAAATCTTGAGCAACTTTAAAAAATAATTAAGGACCATTTATATGGTATTACATTTCCTTATAAGTTTTATAATTAAGTTTTTTCTTTATTCTCTTGGTCTGTCTAAATTAAATTAACTATGTAAGCAATGATAACTCCAAAAGTCCATCAGTGACTGCATAAACTCAAAGACAAAGAACTCCAGATAATGAATAGTTATCATCATCCAGCCCAGATTTAGCACAAAAGTATCATAAAACACGTAGAAAATTATATCTAAGTTTCAGATGTTAATACTACCTTATTAGAAATTCCATTGAATGTAAATGGATTAAAACACCCAATCAAATGCCAGAGACTTATAAAACAGGTTTTTTAAAAAATATGACCCAAAGTATATGCTGTCTACAAGAGACACACTTTACATTCAAAGATACAAATAGATCAAAAGTGAAAGGATGGAAAAAAATATATGTGCAAAAAGTAAACCAAGGAGAGTAGAGTAGCAATTGTTATTGCAGTTGGGCTTCAAGACAAATATATACTTAAAGACAAAAAATGGTTACTAGAGACCAAGAAAGACCTTTTCAATGATAAGAGGGTCAATACCTCAGAAAGATATAACAATAGATGTATCTAAATACAGGAAAAAATTTAGTAACCTGACCAAAAAAATCCCCAGAAGACACAAATTAGTAAAATCTGGTATGAGAGAAAAGACATCATTGCAGATTTTATAGACATAAAAAAAATTATAAGAGAATACTATGAACAACTGAATGCCAACAAACTAGAAACTTGGATAAAATGGAAAAAATTTCCAGAAAAACACAACCTACCAAAATGGCTGAAGAGAAAAACGATAATCTGAATAGTTCTATAGCAAGCAGAAAAATTGACTTAGTAATTTAAAAACTTCCAACAAAGAAAATCCCCAGTCTAGGTAGCTTCACTCATAAAATCTACCAACATTTAAAACAGAATTACTACAAATCTTTTATAAACTATTCCAAAAATAAAAAGAGAGCGAACACTTTCCAACTCACTCTATGAGGCCAGTATTACCCTGATACCAAAACCAGACATAGACATCATAAGAAAAGAAAACTACGGACCAATATCCCTTGTAAATATAGAAACAAAAGTCCTCAACAAGATATTAGCAAACTGAATACAGCAAAATATACAAAGAATTATACAACATGACCAAATAAGATTCATTCCAGGAATGCAAGGTGGCAAAACATAGCAAAATTAATCAGCATAATAATATATCATATTAAAAGAACAAAGATCAAAAACTAATCGATCATCTCAATAAAGATTTCATTTAAGATAGAGGATTTGACAGATTTAATGTTCTTTCATGATAAAAATACTCAGAATTTAGTAATAGAAGGGAATGTCCTTAACTTGATAAAGAGAATCTATGAAAAACCCACAAGAAACGAAACATAATACATAATGGATAAAGATAGAATTTGTTCCCCTTAAGATCAAGAACAAGACAAGGAACAAGTGTCACCTCTGGCTACTTCCAATTGACAATGTACTTGAGGTTCTAACCAGGGCAATTAGGCAAGTGATGGGGTCCAGGGCAGGGCGCCCCAAGATGCGCGACTCTGGTATGCAGACTAGTTCGAGCTGAAGACAATAAAGGCTCAGACTCAGCAAGAACATTCCATCTTTCCCCCCTAACTACCTAAAAGGAATTTAAAATAAAAGCCTGTCCCCAGGACAGGCCATCACCATAGATAACTTTGGGTTCCTGTAGACTGGGAGGATCCTTGCTAAACTCACTCTTACCAAAGTTATATTTACCTAACATTTGCTTTTCCATTTCCATGTGGGTTGCCTTCCTCCCCTTTGAAGACCCAAACCACTACCCTAAATGTCCTCTTTGTCTGCAGCTGAAGATACTTAAACAGACAGCCTCAGCCAGTTGGCTGAGTTGCTCAGTTTGCCTGAGCCTCTCCCATGTATACATGTTTTAAAGCTTTGTTTAATTTTCTCCTGTTATTCTGTCTCATGTGAATTTAATTCGTTGCCTGGCCAGAAGGACCTAGAGTGGGTAGAGGAAATGTCTTCCTCCCCTACACAAGATAGATAAAAGTAATTCAGATTAAAAAGGAAGAACTAAAATTATCTCCATTTATACATGGCATGGTCTTATATAAAGAAATCTTAATAAATCTACTAGAAAAATATTAGAACTAACGAACAAGTTCAGCAAGTTTGAAAGATACAAGATTAATATACACATATTAATTGTATTTCTATACTCCTTTAATGAATACTACAAAAATGAAATTTAAAAAATCATATTCCAATAACATCAAAAATTATAAAATAGCTAGGAATAAATTTTAAAAAATAAGTGCAAGATATTTACATTTTAAACTACAAAATATTGTTGAAAGAAATTAGAGAACCTTGAAATAAATGGAAATGCATGCCTTCTTGATGGATCAGAATACTTACCACTGTAAGTGTAGAGACCATGTGGACCAACTGGAATTCCCAAAGATGCAAGTGGAAGCATGAGAGAGTACAGCGACTTTGGAAAACTTGCAGGGGTTTCTTTTAGTAATCTTGGGCCTTGATATGTTCTATGATGCTATGATTTCCCAAATAGAAATTTACTAACGAGAAATGAAGAAAGATATTCACAAAAAGATGTGTGCAAAGATGTGGATAAAAATAACAGCTATTTTAATAGCAGACAGAAACTGGAAGCAACTAGAATGTTGAGAGACCAGATAAACACATCGTGATATTTTACGCATTGGAAAACAGAATTCTTTTTTCCTTGTATCAATCTTTTCTCTTAAGGCTGTCAACCGATTGAATGAGGCTTACCCACATTATGGAGGGTGACATGCTTTACTCAGTCTTCTGATTTAAATGTTAATTATATCTAAATATACCTTTGTAACAATGTCTGGATTGATGTTTGACCAAAAACTAGGTACCATGGTCTAATCAAGTTGACACATAAAATTAGCCATTGTGTATACTTATGCGATTATTGCTTACAGTAGAGAACTGATACCATAAAGAAATAAAAGTCTTATATAGAGATATCTACAATATTCAAATGCATCTAACGACAGAATAACTATAAATACACATACACACACAAAGAAGAAAGAGAACAAATCAAACAAGACCACATTTTTTTTTCATTAATATTGTACTCTCTAATTCCAATCTACTGCACATTCTGAAGAATAGTGTGACTAATCAAACGGCCCCTTCTATGTGTAGTTTTGGGATAGTCCAAACTCATTTTAGTCCATCCTATTTATCTCTCTTTTTAATTTTATTTTTCGTATTCAGGTATGCTTCTACAGGGGCCAGAAAGGTAACATAAAGGATTGGATCACCTATGTGATAAAATGCATGTTAATCTGCAGGAGACTGAGACTTCTCAACTGCAGCTAACACTGCTATGCAGAAATGTGCAACTAGCACAGTCAGCTACTGATTCTGAAAGAAAAATCAGAAATGTTGATTTTTATTTGATGTCTTTTAAAATCAAAATGTTGGCTCATTTTTTTACATTATATAGACAGAATAAGTATATGGGCCATGTATGATTTCTTAGCTTCAATTTATGACCAATTTATGTTTCAAAAACAAATAACTCTTTTTTTTTTTTTTCTGGTGAGGAAGATTGGCCCTGAGCTAACATCTTTGCCAATCTTCCTCTATTTTTGTGTGTGTGGGATGCCACTAGAACATGACTCAATGAGCAGTGTGTAGGTCCATGCCCAGGATCCGAACCTGCGAACCTGGGCCAACAAAGTGGATCATGTGAACTTAGCAACTATACCACTGGGCCTGCCCCACAAATAACTCTTAATAATACCCTGACCAAATGAATGAAGGAACATTTAGGACACTAAACTTTCCAAATGTTACTGGAGGCGGAGGGACAATGTGTTTTCTCTAACTCTGTTATATGAAGTTAAAAGATGAGAAACAAGTAATCTCATTTCTCTCTCTAGATATTCTGTCAGAGACTTAAAACTTTACTTCTTCATTTACCCCAACAAATTTTTTTAAGAAGTAAGTTGTCATGGCTCCCTTGACAAAATGAGAAATTTACTGTCTAGCCACAAATGTATTTGAGTTTTTAGTTCTACATTAGTACTACGACTTGTATATAAATTTATTTGGAAAGCCATATTTCCAGGTCAGTGTCTTGCAGAAAACCAGAAGTATGGATGGTTCTTAGCCCCACGTGTATATTCCACTCTTCAGTGGCATTGCTCTCGAGTGCAAATGGCCCACTCCCTAGGGAATGCTCCGGCCCTGGAAGGCATTCAGGACCTGGAAGCCACATCTTCTGAAATGAGGTCTTGGAGCATTCTGCTACCAGATTCTCTGAGTATGGGAATGCTTAAAAAAGAACTTACAGTTAATTTTTTTCCTAGTACAGTATAAGAAAGAAGAAATCACCAGCATTGGTCTCTCACTGTGAGCATATTGACCTCACCTTCCACATATTGCTTCTTGACAAATAACAACTATACATGACGTTACAAAATTGGCCCTGTCCATTTCCCTCTACCTCGAGTCACATTACACGTCCATTGTACTCTGTGAACAGATGCTGAAAAATGAGACCTCACTGACGGAAGAAGAAAATCTGGCTGCCAGGCTGCTTTTTCTCCCCACATTGCAGAGAGTGCATAGGCTGAAAATCAGGTTTTCAACCATCACAAAGCCTGCCACTGGTAAATTTTTTCTAAGATACACCATCTAAAGTTATCATTTATCTCAATGCCCATTTTTTTAAAGTTTTTGTTTAACTCCATGGGTATTTAATTGAAATGTTAGTAATATGCATTACCATTGCAACTACAAAGTGATAGCATTGAAATGCATTTTAATGCAGAGGAATTAGTAAATATAGAATGAATACAGAATATAGAAAAATATACATAAATAAATATAGAATAAGAAAAGTCAGCCATAGGCTTGAGATGACAACAATACAGTGAGATTTCTGTAGAAAGCGTGACAGATAGTGTCCATTGGCCCACTCAATAGCAAATGGCTTTTTACCCTGCTTCTAAAATAGAGGCTGGAAAAATTTTTTAAGCCTCCTACATTTTTTAAACCCCTTTGAACATAAGAGTGTTCGTGTGACTCACTCTAGCCCTCAGAATGAAAGGAGAGGTCAACTGGAGCCTTGATGGCTTTTCCTTCTTCCTTTCTAGAATGCTGGTGAAAACTGGGAGTGCAACAGTCATTGCTAAGGACAATGTAGCAAAAGATAGAAGAAGACCATTATCTGTCATTATTCAGACAGAGTTTCCGTCTTAGAGTACCACTTGGAGATTTCCTTTTGTATGAGATAAATAAATCCTCACTCACTTGAACTCTTGCAATCCAGTCTCTCTTCTGAAACACAAGGTGTAACTAAAACACAGTAAAAAAGAGCTTTAAGGACTGCATGATCGCGGATACCAAGGAAACAGGGTTTATCTACTCTAAGTGCTAAGCCAGGTCCAACATTATTATAAAAATAAAATAAGTTTAAACATGAGTGTAAATTCATTTGATAGTTTAACAGAAAAATATACTTAACAAAATAGGAAAACTATTTTCATTACAATATTTTAATTTTTTTATTTTTAATATTTTCATAATATATCTTATAAAAATATCAATGTTTTGAAAATGTCAGCCAGATCCATCAGTACCATTTAGAAACTCCCAGATTATTCTAAAGGTATGGTTTAGTAATATATTTCTGCATTTAGCCCTTATTGCCTGTCATGGTGAGTTCTACTCAAGCAAACTGTTAATTAGTAATCACTTATGACAATAAGTAAAGCTTGTCAGTTCTGGCTCTCAGAACACTCACTGATGTGTGTGCACTTCGTGGTGAGCAAATCATCTGCTCTGACAATTTTCCTTGAGGCACTGATACTCATCATTAAATACTCCCCTTCACCTTGTAGACATACACTCAATTTTTAAAAGGTCTGGTTCTGGGTGGGATTATAAGCCAGCAGTTAAAGAGCTTTCACTTTCTCGAATTGAGAAAACACCAGAAACTCCAAACTCACTCTGCAAGATGAATCTCCTGATAAGGAAGGGCTCCTGGTCCACATGACCTTGATCATCGATTCCTGAATGTCTCCCTGGGGATCTCTTACTCCATGCCACCACCACTCCAGCAGCAGTGCAAAGAGAATCAAGCACGAATAAAAACTTTTCCTTTCTTCCTCCTGGAACAGTTGAAAAGAAGAGGAATTTTTAGGAAAGTTTTACTGAAGAATAACAGCCATCACCAAGTGAATGAGGTCAAGTACTTAAGAGGCTGGTTTTTAAAGGATAACTTGTGCACAGCAACTAACATGTTTATTTCACTTAAGAGGCCAAGTTAAAAAACAAAAGATATCCTACCCTGGATCCTTTACTTCTTACCTCCCATCCTATCTTTGATATCTCTCACTCCTGAAGAACTTAGACATTTAAAGTGTACCAAGAGAAGCAGCCTTTATGACAATCTATCTAGGACACAATTATTCAATTCTAGTTCCTAGTAATAAGACACCTGTTGTTTTCAATAGAAGGATTATATGATTTCAACATGACACTCAGTTTTATACCAAAAAAAAATCCCCAAAAATGCAACTATTTTCCATTACAGAATAAAATTATAATTTCACTTATTAGTGAAATGCTTTAACAAAACATGAATGAAACATATCCAATAAGTTACAATATCACTCAAGTACAAAGAGGTAAGAAAACAGCTTAGAAAGCCTTTGGACTACCAACATTTTGTACGCCACTCACTCATTCATTTTTAATAAAACATTATCTTACTACATAATCCAAAATGTGCCCCACACTATGCCTTGTGCTTCTGGGAAATAAAAATAGGCAAATCATTGACAAGCTTTACGTTTTAGGACCTATCAAAAGAGGTAAAAATAAATAAATAAAGTGCAATGCAATATGTTAGATGGATTTTTAAGGGGACCATATGGTACAGTAATAGCACATTAGAGAGACGGTTGCTTCCCTCAGGATGGGAATCAGTAGGCTGCATATAAGATTTGATACTGGATTCATGCCTTAAAAATGGAATAAGAATGCATCGTGTTATAAAGAATAGGAAGATAATACTCCATAAACTCATGCAAGAGGGGTAACTTCTTCCTATACAGAAATATTACACTAGTGTTGCATGATAATTTTATCCAAGGGTATAGACCCAAAATTGTATGGTAATCTCCCAGAGGACATCTGGATTTTTATTTGTTTTGCCCAATTCTGTTTCCCCAGTGCTTAGGACAGGACACTGGTCACATAGTAGCTGCCCAATAAATATGTGTTGAATGAAAAAATGAACAAAAGAGACAAGCAAATTTTCAGTCTTAGTCCTGGTAATTCACCTGGGGCTGTTAAACCTTAATTCTAATTGTATTTTAAACAGATCTTTAGAAACATATTTGCCAGCAATTATGGAATTGGAAAGTTACTAAGTTTTATTAAGGTCCCACTTGATACAAAGTAATGAACCAGGGTAAACAAAGATCCAGCTAATAAGGAGAAAGCTACACGAACACTTCTAGAGGAACTCCAGTTACAACTGAGGAATGGAAGATACGCAAAACACAGTTTAATAACAATTAGTAAAAATTCTATAAGTTCAAAATTAATATATTTAAGCAAAAAAGGTAAATGTGAAGGATATGAAAAATAGAGTCAATATTAAAGTGGTATTCAGGTATAACATAAAACTTTTCCAAAGATAGCAGTATCTCTACTGAAAATTCAAATGAAATCTAATCTAACAAATAAGACATTAAGATATTTCTATCAAGTGATAAGGAAGTCAAAATCAAGAAGCTGTAGTCATCAGAACTGCCAAATGCAACAGCCTCTTGACATCTAGGAAACTGGGAAGGAACGTTTGAATAAAACTGTAGTATTAACTAATATTTCTTCATCTTTTTTTGGTGAGGAAGATTGGCCCTGAGCTAACATGTGTTACCAATCTTTCTCTTTTTGCTTGAGGAAGACTGGCCCTGAGCTGACATCTGTGCCAATCTTCCTCTATTTTGTGTGTAGGTCACCGCCACAGCAATGACTTGATGAGTGGCATAGGTCCATAGGATCCGAACCCACAAACATGGGCCACCAAAGCAGAGCCTGCCAAATTTGACCACTACATCACAGGGCAGACCCCAAACATTTTCTTCATCTTCTTCATTAGTAGAAGGAACCTAAACGAACACGCAGATGATCTCCACTTTACCTCTACCTTACAAATCTCTCACAATTATGTCAAATATTGAAACCCAAATTTCATATAGACGCTTTTGAAGATCTTTATCTTCCATGTGTAGGGTCAGGGTGGGGTATTCTAGGATGAGTAAGTGAACATCACAGACATTTTCAGCCATCAAATCATTATCAATACTCAGATTGTGGAGATTGAAGTATCACACAAAGTTCTGATCTGTATAAATAAAAAAGAAATCAATTTTTAGGCATATGGTAGTGAAGCTGCAGAATACAAAGATGAAAAGAAAATCTTAGAACCTACTAGAAAGAAAAGATTTATTCCAAAAATGGATCAACAAGTTGACTCAAAGTGTATATTTTTTGTAGACCAGAGACAAGACAAAAATGGAATAATATCTTCAATATGATATCAAATAAAGAAACCTATTCCCTTTTAAATATTCCTCAAGATTAATAATTAAATACAGATATTTCAATCAAAAGAATTATTTTAAAATGTGCTTCCAAAAGAAATTAAATCCAAAAGAAAGATGAGGATGGAAAGAGCAATGACATATTATTTGTCTTTGAAAGTATGTTTTTGTTTGAAAAATTTTATAATTTTAAAAAATTTATCTAAACATAATAGGTTAGCTCAATGTTAAAAGTAGTATATCTTAAATTCCTATCATTTAGCAATTGACAAATGTGAGCTAATTGCAAGTCTTATACAAGCAGAAAAAATGGAATTTTGTTTTATTCATACCATGTCTCTATTTCCAAAGAACTGTCTTAAAACAAAAAAAGAATTATTGATTTATACCATCCGCTTTAATGTCAGTCACAGAAAGAATTTTAGCATTCTATTCCTCACTTTTAAGAAAAAAACACTGCTTTTTTCCTTTACAGAATATCTTGGAAAAACAGTTCCTTTGAAACATTTCTTTTATTCTATTTAGCAGAATGGTAGAAAAAGAAAATATAATACAAAACACACACTTGTCTTTTTCATTGCAGGTGAAAACACTTTCGTGAATGCAACATTAAAGAATCAGAGCAGGATTTGTATCTAAATCATTAAAGGGAGAAAATAGGAAAATCTCAAGAGTAATATTATAAGAATAATAAATCGAGTCTGTGGGTTGAGTTTTTATTTATTTTTTAATTATTGAAATATTTTATTTTATGCTCTTTTGTTCATGATTTCCATTATGTGGAAATACTCAATATGGCTAAAATAATATAGGATTAGATCAGTGAGTATTTTTTTAAAGCATAGGAAATTTAATGATAAATCTACATTCAGCAAATGTAGGGCCCCTGGATCTTCCGTAAAGTGCACTAGTAATACTTTCTGGCAAAAAAGGGCACACAGGAAATGAGTGCACACTAGATGGCAATATTTCCTACTCACGAGCCTCTTTTTGTGCTTATGTAGAGTAGCCCTTTTTATATGATCAGCTAAATAAATGTTTCTCCTTCCTCCTGCTCCTTCCTTATCCCTCCCAATACCCATTTCACGGCTTGTTTGCTAAAATCCTATTGTTCAGTAGTTTGGTGACCAGGTTCTGTCTCTATTGATTCCCCTCCTATACGCTTTGTTCCTTCATGCTGAGTCTCCTTTGTATCAATGTATATTGATATCAATATTATATTGATTATCAATATAAATTTTGAAGGCTATGGAAAGAAATATGTCAGAATATGAGAAAAGCAGCCCTTATGATGAGGATAATGGGTGGGCATGATAAAAATGAGACAGGATATGAAGAAACTGACTCAGATACTGAGGAGTGAGCAGTCCAATGTACAAGGTAAACTGAAGTTTGATTCCTTTGCCTATTGATAGTTTAAGCGAGCTATCTAGTCAGAAAAGTCAAAGGAGCAGAAGTGCAGACAGAGAGACAAAGATATCAGGGAATGCTGCTATGGCAGAGGGTAACTCACACGTTAAAAATGGGACTAAATTGAAGAGCTGCAGGTATAAATATACTTTATTTTTGTTATAACTCTGTCGACAAAAATAATCCATAACCAATCTATAAATGAAAATTTGAGTGAGTTTATTCTGAGCTAAAATGTGAGGACCATGGCCCAGGGCCTTTCTTCCCGAAGGAAGAAAGGGCACCAAAGAAGTGGGGTGCACAGAGTGGTTACATACCCCCAAAGAGAATGTTTCACATATGATTGAAATGTCCCTTTTACAATAGTCGTGAGCCTGCTCTGTTGGCACAGCGATTGATGGACACAGCAGGTAGGTCTGCTGTCTCGGTGGACACAGCAGGGTGGCAGGTCTGTTGTCTCGAGCTGGGTGGTCACAGGTGAGCTGGGTAGTCAAAGGTGAGCGCAGCAATCAGTTCCTAGCCTAAGGAAAGATGCTTATCCTTAAGGAAATTCCAGTGTGGGGGGAAGTTGCACCTTTATCTTAAGGCCATTTGTTCTTGCCATAGGAAACGTTTAAAGCAGATATACAATGCATGCTCAACAGGCACAGTCAGGCCCTTTTGGAAAAAACAGAGTCAAGTTGAATTAGGTTTACACCAAATGGCTTCCTCATATACTCCAATATATACTACTGCTTGCCATTTCTATTTGTCAACTCTCACTGACTTACTGCTTACTGTTGCTCAGAACTATGATAAATGCTCTGTTACATTTAATCCTCAGAGCAATCTTATCCCCCTGTCTATGGAGAAGTTGGTTAGTTAAACGGGCCTCAGCCAAGTTGCCCAAAATTCAAAGCAGATTTCTTGTTCAATTGACTAAAAACGATGATACAAAAAGAAACTAAGGCATATATATCAAGTGGATAAATTTATCAACCCCATTAAAACCATTACAATACAATGGTACAATTGTGAAAAAAAGAGAAAGGAAAGATGGTCATGTCATACAAGTGGCAGAGCATTCCCTACAAATCAACATTTATTTAAAAAGATCGTCCTCACTTGGTAGTGGAATAATTCATTTGTTTAGCCAGTCAGCCTGC